TCCCTACTGAGGATATAACCCAACTGTAAAGAATGGGTTGAGATAAAGTAGAAAAGCAGGATGAGTGATCTATGGCGCTGTTTCACGATTCATTACAATTATCTTATTCGTAAAAGAGAAATGACAGGTGAACGAACGTACTATCTAAGGTAGTGTAAAAAATATCATGGAAATGACGAAATGGCAAATTATTTCAATCGGAATTTCCAGGATTTCATCAAATGCAAAAAAATATAATTGTCGATACAAAAACGTTGGTTATTTCGATTGAAATGTAACAGGATGGCTCTAACAGAATTTATCCTTTTTTTGAGGGACAATGTCTGACGAGAATATTTTTGACTTGCGCTATCGTCTCGTCTCCCTGGCTCCAAAAAGAACCAAACTAACTATAGACAACCCAAGATTACGAGAACAAAGGCGAGACTGCTAACCCGGATCCTGCGACCTGCGACGGCTTGTAGAGATGCTGCGAAAAATTTATTTCCCAGACATGGATCTTTGTAGATTAGTAGAAAAGATTAAATTAATCTAGAATGTGAATGAATTTAAGTTAAATGGTTAAATATGACTGAAAGTTATAGTTTCTATCATCAATTATTCAGTGAATGCTAAAATGGTTGTTGGGAGAATGAAGGTAGGTATAGGGACCTGACATGTGGTAGATGGTGAAGGTAAACCATGTCATGTTCTAGGTGCGACCCTCATTCTGATCAGAACTTGGTGCGTATATGGAATTAAGTTCAATAGAAAAACAGGATGAATTCCCCCTCTAAATTGCTCCAAATGAGGGGAAAAATTACTAAATACGTAAATCTTTACTACCCATATTGGCATAGTGATATTAAGGCAAGCGGAATAAATCTGTATTACATTTATTTTCTGACTATTGAGAAGCCCAATGCATTTAAATATTGTAAAATTAATGCATGTGCACCAAGAATATCGAGCGCAAGTTTATGTTTGTAATTTTTGTATATCTCATCTAATACTGAATGAGTATTCAATATTTCAAACCAACAAAGCATTTCCTAGACTTTATTTCCCTGCGCTGAAATATTTTAAGATCAGCTTAGAGAGATTAGATGACTTTGCTAAATTTTATGAAACCCTAAGCTTACTGGAACGGAAATGCATTCTTTAAGGTGAAGTGGCCAAGCTCCCTTAGAAACGTTTCAAGGAATAAAATTTGAATTTACGCAGAAATACTACGATGGCAACCAGTAAATAAATTGTTGAAAAAACGACAAATAAAACTTAAGTCGACTATTTTTGCATTTACCGCTCTTATTTGGCCATTCCATATTCCGCTTCTGAAAAAATAATTAACCATCGACAAATGGGGCATGACAATTTGGTTCAAATCCAAAATGATGAGCAGTGATGAACACATCCAATATAATGTGTGGTAATGAACACATCCCATACGATGTGTGGTAATGAACACATCCCATACGATGTGTGGTGATTACCACATCCCATACGAAGTGTAGTGATGAACACATCCCATACGATGTGTAGCGATGAACACATCCCATACGAAGTGTGGTAATGAACACATCCCATACGATGTGTGGTAATGAACACATCCCATACAATGTGTGGTTTTGAACACATCCCATACGATGTGTGGTGAACACATCCCATACGATGTTTGGTGATTACCACATCCCATACGATGTGTGGTGGTGAACACATCCCATACGATGTGTGGTGATGAACACATGCCATACGATGTGTGGTGATGAAGCAGTGAAAAAATGAATATCATTCAGCATACATGTGACCCCGTCAATCCTGTATGCAGCGGGCGAAATGAAGCAGTGAAAAAATGAATATCTTTCAGCATACATGTAACCCCTTCAATCTTGTCTGCAGCGGGGGGGCTTTGAAGAAATGGATAATGCAAATCATTCACAAGCGGCTGTCATTCCCAAGCAATGGAGACCTGGACTTCCCGAGGATTTTTTCAACCTGTCATATGAGACCTGCAAGCAAATCGGAGAACTGGTATTGTGAAAAGGCTTTATTTGGCCGTTATTTCCAATGAATGGTCCATTGAGAATTCTTCCGACCCGAGCATCTGAAATATCGGGATTTCCCTTCTATTAGCATTTAGTAATATTGTTAGAAGTTAAATGTTATAATCTATCGAAATGAATAGCTCGAAATACTTAGTATTGAAGCATATGTATTGTGTTATATTTTAGAAACACATTTTTAGAGAGTAGACGTTTGGATTAGTTTCTGTGTAGGGGCTTCCCTTAAAATTTCCAAGATATTATTATAGCTTAGCGTAATTAGCTTGATAATTATTGATTGAAAAATGTAATCAACGATATTTCTCATGCAATGTTGAAATTCAGATAATCCTCAATTATTTTAACAATTTGGCCATCATAGATAATTAAAGATAACCTGCTGGGTATAAAAGCTGAAACATATAAGGAAGCGAATTATTTAACAAATGTATATAATAATTTTTATAGCATTATGTGTTCATTTGAGCAGCAACTTCTGAAAATAATAACGTTTTGGCAAAAATGAGCCGCTCTATTATTATTCGATGCGAGTCGAGCAGTAATTTCGAATGCTAAATATCAAAAGGTTTCACATTTAATCACTATCCGATAGTAAATGATATCGAGTGATGTGAACGTTTAAATTTTTTCCAACAAGCTAAGCTATCGAGTTTAGCATTTTAGCAAATATTCAAACATTTCAAGTGCAAATTCGTAACAACTTTGATTAATATTCCAAAATTTGGCATTAGGGTCATACAAATTAGTTCTAACACAATATCTATTCGGTAATAGCTAAATAAAGATTCGATTATGATAGTAAAACAATGTATCTAAAATATTAAATGATATACCAATGTATAAACATTAGAATGATATATTCTAACTATATTATATAACTTTTATGACCATATATCTTAAGCATATGATAGAACCATTTTTAACTAAAATCATTGCCTCTATAAGCTTGAATACCACAAGTTCGTCTTATGTTCACGATCAAAAATCTGGCGATACTGATGTACAATACAGTGAAAATGTCTTCTAAATTATATGTTCGGCAGTCTGCATGAGTTCTCAACTCGAAAATTTTCTCCCCAAGATGCGATGACATTATGAGTATAAGGCTTTTTTGTTTAAATTAAAAATAGGTAATTATAATTTTAGTTTAATTAGGAATAACTCTAGTTTAAGCCTGAATAACAAGGCATGTAAATAAATCATCATTGTTCATCATCATCGCGAGTTATGGAAAGATCGGTTACAAAGGCTGGATCCCTTGTGAATCAAGTCACGAAAAGATCAAGAATCGGCAAAAGGTCATGGGCCTATTTCTTCAATGCCGACACTTTTATTCTATTCTATTCTATTATATGTGCCTCATGTGGCTATTTTCTATAAATTGTCAGAAAACGTAACTTCCTAGAAAAAAGCGGCTACATTTGCTTCTTATTCAAAGCACCATAAGATCTCAAGAATCGGTGGAATGGCTCCAACAGCTTGCATTTTCGGCATTTATTTGTTACTAAAAATGTTTTCTGCATTTCTTTGTTACTAAACCTACATTTCTTTGTTACTAAAAATTAACCTGGTCAGTAACCACCTGAATGCACATCTCATGCTGGTCCGAGTTAGATTCGTTTTACAGACACACGGCGTCAAGAACGGCTTTCTCCTTTGTCGGCGTCTCGACCTTAACCGATTCCATGGAAGCTGCTGGAACGAACCTCCACGAATAATTTTCCGTCATTACGTTAATATTTAAAATAATCAATCCGCACCAATTTCTTATGTCCGTAGAAACGTTTATCTGCAACATAATTTAAAAAGTAATGGCACCTCCTCCTTCAAAATTGATCGCTTCCGTTTGTCGCACTCGGCATCGATAATCTCAATACATAAATTTAATGGTTGATTCAGAATAAAATTTGTAAACAAATAATAAAAAAACTCGTATTTCTTACAAATTTTCTTTGGAAATTCAACCCCCGCGATTACTAGCAGTACTTACTTTCCAGCAGTTTTGAAAACACGATCTTTTAATACAAGACATGGGAAGTTAATTATCCATTTCATGTAATAGATGAAATTCGGCACACAACCTAGCTGGCTGTGGGAATGTCTGACGTCACTTGCAAAAAATCTGCAAGTCACGCATCACAGCGGGGCGGTAATTCGAGGGGCGGGTCGCAAATGTCGAAATTTCCTACATGTCAATCCTAGTGACAACATTTCTTCTCTCGGTCATTTACCAAATCACTGCGAAATTTCTTTAAATGTTGAAAGCCATGAATATCCTGCTGGGAAAATTAAAAACGCATGCTTTTGAACAGAAATACATAACAACTCTCTAATATAATTTTACTGTTTTTCAATCACCGCTGTTAATAATGAAGCTGCATTATAGTATTCAACGGACAGCTGAAATAATTGTTGAATGCCATTATACGGATGAAAATTTAAATCGCGCTCCATGATTACAGGTTATGTGTACACGTGTCTTTAAATTATGAGAAGCTAGTCAATTCATATTCCAGAGGATTATGAAATGAACTATTTAACTAAGGTATTTAATAATTTAACTAAGTTTTTAACTCTAATCTCACCTGGGCATGGCAGGTTCGAAAAATACCACCATGTTTTTTATTTACCTGTCATCAGTCGACTAAAATCTATAAAACTGAGTGAGGACAAAAAATTTTTACTTGCGGTGTGGATCTTTTAAAAAAGTTAATGAAATTTAATTAGGGATTATATTCAGCTCAACAAAAATCTTTGCATTTCGTATCTAATTAGTTTGTGAATGAAGTTAAACATAATTAGAATTTGATGCATTCAATTAATATTCCTGAGTTTTCCATACATGTATACTCGTAAGTGATAATTTTTCAGAGTGAAATGGACTGTAATATTGCAATTTCACCGCAGTAAAAACACACCATAAACGGTTCCACTACGAGGATGAAAGTAAAACAATAATTTCATGCCAAAACTTTTACTGAAAATAATCACATAAGTTATATTCGTTGACACCAGCGATGTCGATCGCCATTTGGACATTTGCGGAAGACATTTTTTTAGAATTTCAATTGTAACATAAAACAGATCTATATTTAATTTCAGAATATCCAGCATTATTTGCTTTGTTTTGCAAGACACTAACATTCAAAAAACCTACGCTTTACGAGGCATTCGTGCCTTTCACATCGATCATTTAAACTCCTGCTCACCATAAATGAATTTTATTTACAGTAAGAGAGATATTTCTGAACATTTCACTCAATATTGTCGATAAGTAAAAAACATTTATATGCGCGTCCTGCTGAATTTGGCTGACTACAAGAAATTATTTATAAAGAGTACCGAATTTTATTTTCTAACATTCAGTTATTTTACAATTCTGATTTGTGTTTACCATAAAAATTAATTATGTGTTACATGTAATTAAGAGCTAAACTTATGGACAATTCGTGGCGACGGAAGCAGGCGAAAAGAATAGTCGGCAGTGTCAGTTCTGAAAACTTTCTTGTGATACTATTTCACAAATAAATAGTATACTGAGGATGGAATAGAGACGGCATTTGATTAATTACAATATAAATAAATTAACTACTTAACTCAAGTCTCAATTATTAAGAGGACTACGTGTACGTTTACCTAATTCAGGCCTTTTTTTGTGTTGATCATGACAGCATTTTGGGTCAGGCACAAACTGATTAAGGGTAAAGCCTGTAAATAAGCACTCAACTCCCATTTCCAGTCCTCTGTTTTGTAACAATGAAAATAAATAAATAAGTGTTCGTGAAACAATAAATCTGTAAGAAGTGTTGACTTCCAGAAATGCATGCTTGTGACAAGTTGCTGCAATTCTAAAATTCCGAAAAAATTTCTATATTGGTCATCAAAAAAAAAAAAAAACATTTTAACGGGAGCGAATTATTGCAACTAAACAAGTCATTTCATGCTGACGCTGCTATTTCCATTCAATGTCATAATACACATAATTGAAGAAGTTCATCGTAATTGTAGATTCGTTTACAGTGATCATTTTATCATTTATTTTTTGCCGACAATTTGCACCATCTCTGCGTACTTGTCGACCATCTCGTGCAGCATGAGGTCGTAGAGACAACTTTCAAACATCGGGTTGCTGTAGCAGTCACGCCTGCGGTATAATCCATTGTAAATTTGTTATAAGAAGAAGAGTAATGCCAGCATGGAAATAATTTTGAGTAAAGATATTGATAAAAATAGGACAAAAAGATCTAGTATTGCACGTTGGATGAGGGATAGTGAGGGTAAGACAAAAATCTTATGGTTCTCCAGTCAAGTTTCATAATTGTTTACTATTAATATTCTAAATTTTTTATATATCAAGAAGAGCACGAATTATGGGACTGATGTGCCTAATTAGCCAGCAATAATATATATTGCAAGTTTCACTACGTAAAAATAAATTCTGTGTATTCCTATAATCTGGCTAGCCGAGAAGCTCCACGTAGAAATTAATTAATTAGTTCAGTATTGTGTTATGCCAATAAAGAATAATCCAAAGACTACGTTTTAAAAGACGACTAATGACATTCATGAGTGAGAGAGATGCATTGTAAGAAATTTCCTTTCATTAAATACTAATAGGCACAAACACAACAGAATTGAGCGATGCATGCGTTAAGCAGAGAGAAAGTCGCAGCCAAGGAGGAAAAAGAGCTCCAGTAATGCTAATCTGAAGACAAATAACGGGGGAAGATTAGAACATAAAAGCTACCTAGAAGAAAATATGGCATTCATGAAAAAAATCTGTATAAACCATCATGTTTTGATCATCATCATGACTTCTTTTAGATTAAGAGTTAAGTATTCGTCAATTAAATTTAATAATGTTATGCTGAAAACATTTTTAGGAAGCCAATATTAGATCTGCCACAAACGAGTGTAAAATTTAATAAGGAAAGCCAGTCGTTAAAAACATACGAGGTATGTTATTTCACAATTTAACATAAATTTTATGAGTCAATGCCATTATGCAGCAGCTTCATAAAGGCGGATTATTTTAATGCGTGGAATTAATGTAAAATAAATAAATAAATAAGAAAAGGAACAGAATGCGCTTACCAAACCATCAAATGAAACAAAAATAAACGGAGAAGTTCGGAACATGTGCAGGGGTCATCCCCTGGAGCTGTAGGTCCTTCGTTGAACGGTCAGGGAAACATTTTCCGGGGTACGCGGAGTTCATTTGTGCTCTGTATGATATTTAATCAAGTGCGGTTGTCTTCTCATCTTTTTTGAGGATTGAGTGTAGTTGAGTGAATGAAGGATTTTGTATTAATCGAATATGAATAAACGCCACCACTTCGAACTTAGGAAACATTTAGTTCGAAGCGTCAAATTAGTTTGTGATTCACTGTTTTTGTTTTTAAGCTGAGAGCTGAAATAAAATCCCAATACAATGTGAGAAGTCGTGTATAGTGGAAACTGATACTTGAGCACTTGAGCACTTGAGCACTTGAGCACTTGAGCTTAGTTACGTTGCATTATGCATAAGAATAGTTTGGAAATCTAGATCTGCTTCAACCTCAATCATAATTACTTGTAAGTACATCATTGCTGAAAGTAGAAAATGAAAATCTATAGGCTCACAGTTTCAAGTACGTCACAAAAATTCTTCGAGAAATTCACTAGTGTGAGTTAAGTTGAAGTTTATAAACTATCACAACCTTTGTAATTTGAAGGGTTTGCTCGGTCACGAGCACTTCTGACCTGAACTGGGCCTTTTTTCTCTTATCTTTCTATATTTTCTGGAATGAAATCGTAACGTTTTTTAAATAAGAGGATTTTCGCGCTCAAATTCCCACTTTTATAGTTGATTAACGTAGTTATATTAATTGATGAGTGTTCAACTGCCTACTGTAGTACTTGGAATTGAGTTTAGACTTGTTGGAACTGGAAGTCTCCCACATTCATGTCGGGAAATTCCTTTTTGGCTGGCGCAGTACGATCTGCATATCTGGTGTAAGATAGTGTAGTATGCCCTTCTTTCAATTTTTTATCATGGAGATGCGGAGAGAAAACTTTTTTATTTGGCCATAAACTGATATATGCGGGGGAATGCAGGTTTGATCTTACGCGTGTATTTATGTTCTGAGGAATGTATGCAAATTTCTTTGTACGTTTTGTGTACAGTGAATGTGCGAAAAGAATATAGCGATGTAGGGGTAAGAGCAGAGCTGCGACACACTGACGATATACCGACGTCTGGAAACAGTCTTGCCTGGTGTTGGAAAACATAAACGGTTAAAATAAGCATGGCGGACCAACGAATGTGTTCAAATAATAAAAAATCAAACAAACAGTAGATGAACAAACTAAAATTAACACGAGGTAAGGAGATTTCTCGTGTATTAAATAATATAAAATAAATTTTGAAAACAAATTATAAGCAAGATTTTAGCACTATGAAATTAAAATCAGTCTTAGATGGTAAGCAGCCTTTGAAACAATTTTAATTAGATTGTGACAAAACATGTTTATAAAAACAAACACAAGATTTATTGTGTAATATGCAATAAAAAACGCGAAATACAGTGATTAAATTAAATCGACGTTTATTACAAGTGGTCGATAATAAAGTGCGTGAATTTATGGGCGACCTTTTAATAAATTAACCAAGAATATTCCTTTCATTTGCAAAAATACCCGATTTTCTGAAACGGTGTCCATTTGAAGGTCAGAAACCGTGGTATGAATATATGCCATTTATAAATTATAAAAATATTAATTAATTCTAAAGGATATTTATTTTAGTGTTCGCATATATTTATTTTTATTAAGTTAGAGAATTAATTGCTTCTAACCAGCAAAGTAGATATTTCTCAAGGATGAAATCAAGTGTTGTAAATAAATACACGATTAATATGACACTACTAACATAATACGTATAACATAACGAATAAGACCCAACGTGACAACATTCAGTTTCTAGAAGCAACGGTGAGGACGCAATAAAAATAAAAAATACGCGACGGCGTGATTGACGGCGCAATAAAAATATTCAGAAATGAAACACACACACACAAAGAAGCACCATCGATAAATCAGTCAGAGATTCTAGACACATACAGCGAAGTACACGGCCGTGTTCTTGTTCTCTCTAGCACTTTTTTTGTTGCGTCATCCCAAGGACATATCTTGCTCTTGAACACTTATCCCAAACATTAACACGTTCCATGTAAATGAATGATAAATATTTAGCAATAAAGTTTTGGCTTTTAAATCTTTCTGATTTGATTGAATACGCTAAACGACAGGGACAAAGTATAGGAAATATTCAGGATAGTGATAAGCGTTTGAGCCTTTAGGAGCCAACATAAAAAAACAGTTTGAAGTTGCCTGCTGTAGATTCAGTATGAAAATTTGCTGAATATTGCGGATGTACCGGCATAAGTTAATTTTTCGCGAAAAATATTAATTCTGGAAACATAATCTATTAGTTACATAAGAATTCATAAGTATTTTGTTTTCGCATCAGCTCGTGCACTGCGTATTGTGCGGAGAGAAGGCTTATATAAATGGACAATAATAGCAATGTAAATAAGACGTTATGTGTGTGGTGACGTGGATCTAAGAGGAAGCCATGTTGTAAAAAGCATCAAATAAATAAGCTAACCTGCACTCGTAGGAGACCGTGGGTTTCCTGTAGAGGTTGTAGCAATCGTCACACACGCGGTCTAACTTCGCGAACAGTTCCCTGTCGTAGACGCCCTTGCAGGAGTCGTCAAAGAGGGCACGTTTGGGCCGCCCTGCGTCAGGGTAGAGGAGCGAGGGTCGACCGTAATCCTGGGAGAGCTGAGCAGCGCGGCTGGACAGCAGGTTGGAGAAAGGGTATCGGCCCGAGGACGGCGACAGCAGTCGTGATGGTCGTTGCAGAGACTTGTCTGAAATAAAAATTCAGTTAACTGTTTTCGATCACGGTAATTTATTCAATGATAACGACGTAATTTTGAGCAAAAACTTGCTATTGAATTATTTTATACTAATTGAAGCTCGAAGTAATTTTACGGCTGAGTAATATGATCGGTGTTTCAAGAAAAATTTAATGTGATCCTCTATTATATTTAACTTCAAAAGCTTCCGTTGAAAAAATAGAAGGGCACGAAAAAAGTCTTACACGAAAAAAATTGTTGATTTACCTGCACATTTTATTCGGTATGAATTTGCGCATAAAGTATTTGGAAGAAAAGATTTACTTAAATACAGTAATGTTGAAATCCAGCAAATCCAGTAGAAAATTGCTTTCATGAGCAGCACAACTTCATATATAACTAACAATAGTAATAAATTAACTGTTTGGTATACTGTCTACTGATCGAAGTGAGTTAACACCTGCACTTCACGAATAATTCCCCCTTCATTTCCCACCACTGTGAGCTCGGTAGCTATTTAACTGCATTTTTTAGGAACGCGTCGAGTTTAGTTCACGTCTGCTGCTACTCTGCAACGTGAAAAATTCACAGGCAGTATCGGAAAAGGTCGTACGCTTTTTATCTTCAATTGAGTTTCCAAGTACCGAAGTGTTGTTCTGTTAACACGTGGATTTTGATTACGATGGACAGGAACCAACGAGGTATCTGGAACAATTTCAACAGGCTTCAAGAAGCGATCCTAAATTTGAGCGACGGTCACGCCAGGTCAAGTGTTTTGGTCGACAGTTGGGTACTGTTGCTGCACTATCGCATCACTGCTGGAATATACCTCATCATTTTCATTGCAGTGACAGCTGGATGGTATGCAGAACACCCGTTGTTATGCGTGAATTTAGCTGACAGATCGGAGGTAAAGGATTACTTCAAGAGCCTTTGTTTCTCGTACGCATACACAAATGTCTCAAGAGCAGACGTGAGAGAGGCTGGGATGGAGGAAGACACTAGAGTATACGCAGCGCATTACAGATGGCTTCACTGGGTGTGTCTATTGCTGATGTGCCTGTACCGCTTGCCCTTGGTGCATGCCACGAGCTGTGCAGTACCTCATGTCGTGAGTCTCCTCAAAAACATCAAGGACACCGACGACCGAAAACAACTCAAAAAATTACAGATAAGTCATCTGCTGGTGGATGAACTTCGATGGAATTCGCACGTATTCACCAAGCTCATCAGCTGTCATCTTTTGGCACTTCTGGTTGATCTTATATCTGTGCTCATTCTAGAAACTCTTCTCGATAACAAATTTGTTACACTGATAACTGCTCTTTACCCGTTCCGACGAGACTCCCGATTCTTCTCCGACCCTCTTTCTCTACTGTTCCCTCCCTTCGTAACTTGTCAAGTCGGACCAGAGATGATGTTGCTGAACTACCGCACGGAAGTCATGGGGTGCCGTCTGACACTCATGGAGCTCTACGAGAAAGTCGTGGTAGCACTATGGTTCTGGAAAGCATTTCTTATCACCGTTACAATCTTCAAGTTGTTGCACTTGATCATTTTGGCTTGCAGTAAGGCTTATCGAAATTGTTTGGTCAGATCTTGCGTTGAAGCCAATGATGGAGATTCTACACTTGTGACGGCTCGGTACAGTGTTGGAGACTTGCTGATTTTGAATAAATTGCGACAGCTTCTGGACGGTCACTGCTACAGAGCAGCGCTGCACCACGCGGCGTACGTTGAGTGGTCGGATCACTTCGACGATGAGCTTATACCGGAGGCCCAACCTCATCTGTGCTGTCGTACTTACTAAATAATATGTTAGCAGCAGCTGCCTTTTGCACAACATAATTTTTAGTTTACGTTCAGCGATTTGATCATGTCTTGGTACCCGAGACAATACCGTACTTGCAATCAGAAATGTATTTTGATTCTCAGTTTTGAAGATAGTCATAGTTGTAAGACGTTGGAAAATGGCAAGGATGTTATTACTACAAGTGCATGTCTATAGCGCAATATAAATGTATAATTACCTTAATGCTCCCTTTGGTATCTATGTGCTAGACTAGCAAATTAAATTGTTCAAGTATGTAAATGGTATGAATATTAATCATTGTATACTATAGTATAACTTATAAATAAAACTTTTTCAACTGAATTAAACTGAATTTACTTGTGTGAACGTGAGTGGACTCGTAACTCGATAAATCCTGTAACATGAGTCATTGACAAGGTGATTTCCTCATTACCTGTACTCAACATTCGTAATTATTTTCGATTGCATAAGGAAGAAATTAGTTTGTAAAACTCATTCACTCATTACCCATGATCTCCGGTGAACCTGAGGAGTCGCCAAAGCTCACCACCAGCACCATCATCGCCACCACGGCTGCTTGCGTGACTGAAGGCATCTTTGGTTCAAAGTCTTGTGATGAACGCTGAACTGAAAACGATAAATATTATCTGCGTCAAAAGGTTTCAAAAATATGAAGACTATGAAGCATGAGTTCAATGTACAGAGGCTCAAAAGGAGATGCAGTACTTCAGGATACAAGAACATTATAATCTCTATTTACTATTGTGTTTACCTTAGCGGTAATGCAGGTACAAGAAAAAATGTACTCTATGGTTAATGAACAAACAAATCTTAAGTGTTCCAGTTCCGCAGGTTCAGTGCTTGCATTTGCGCAAAGATTGCAGTTTAGTATTAATTTCGTGAGGCTGAGAATATTAAACAGAATTCATGCACCCAGTTCTTCAGTTGGAGTAATTGTTAATATTATAAAGTTATTATTTATTATAAGTTTATTATAAAGACTAATTGGAAGCTTGTAAGCTGTTATTGTGTGCAAAATTAATAAGATTACGAACAGGACCCAGTCAGTTGATTATTATTATAGTGACCCTGAAGTGACAGCATGGCAGGAAGCGTCGAACTGTAAACTGCGGTTCGAATAAGGAAGAGAGCAGAGCGCGAGGGAGGTGGTGAGGGTTACTGAGGGTAAGGCATTCAGTGAAGGGTACATTCATTGCTGCGTGCTAAATTATTTACTGTGATATCAAATGGTGATTAGATCCACCAGTTTTTTCTTAGCATTAATACGGTAATAAGATTGGTTATAGAAGAGAGTATTGCCACGTACTGAAGGTAAATTGGTATACTTTAAAAAAACTACATGAAACTTAGAAAAATGATGCAGTGATTATAATTAAATATAACTATAATTGAGTAAATGCTCATATGGCAACATTGTTGAGTTTGGCAGTTCATACGGTTAAAGTTTTAACTTGCTATCAACACAATACTTTGACTGGCATTGCAGGCTTTTCACCATTGAGCGAAAAACCTAGATGATGAGGCCGTTTACGACACAACACTTTCTATTGTGAAAGCTTGTACATTGTGACGGCCTAATTCCTTATTGTAGAATCATAGGGGCAAGAGGGTCGAACAGAGGGTCGATATGAGGGTCATACATAGCATTGCTAATGTCATCCGTTAACATGCATGCTAAGCATTGCCAAGTTTGAAACGGCTGCTATTGTGTTAACCTTTTTTGTAATTTTTTTGGAGCAATATTTCAATTTATACAGTCCATGTGATTTATGATTTCGAATTATTTTTAAAGTATCAAATTTCTAACTTTCAACGAAATATTTTTCGAGATCATTCAAGTCACATAACGGAGGAGGAACCACTATTCCTCGATTTTACGCACATATATTAATATGAATTTTGACACAATAAGGTCAATAACTTAACAGTTCATCAAAATAATAATGCGAAAATATAAAGATTATTTGCGATAATATAAAGATCTGGTTAAAACAAAGAATATTTTTTTTCTGCTCGCCATTCCTGAAAATGACTAATGCTTTTTTCGAGAGAGAAAAATTTAAGTTTCGGGTGTTTTGACGGACACCGTTCACAATTTTTTTGTAAAAAAATGATGAAAACTTAATTAAAATTGAGACAGTTTGCCTATTCATTCATTCATCATGAATTGTTGATAAAATTTGGCACATTTATTGGGATAATCAAATGCAGCAAGTTTGGCCAGGGACTGAAAACATTAAAAACGCTACCGAGAAAATAGAAAACTAAGCTAACAGATAAAAGGGAAGATTGAACACATATGCAACTTATAAATTAAATAATGAGACGACTCCTGCCTTCTCATGTTAAGCAAAGTTGGCTATTTTCAAGAAAAAATTTGCACGACATTTGAAGCCAGATATCAATTAGTTTCAAAGTGTATTGATAGTAGCTTTGAATGATGTTTCTAAACAGTTTGTTGTCATAGAAAATTAAAAATATTAGCGAAATTAAAAAACAAATTCCTATGGACAAGTCTGAATATATTTGAACGAATGGTGATGAATCACAGACATGGGCATTTAGCTCTAAATGAATGAATGATCACACACAAAGAAACAAACAAAAAATCATCACATAGGAGTGAATACGCTACCGACACTCACATTTCAGCAAATAGTTACATAATAATTAAAATATAATTTCATTATCTTACCAGCTCTGACTAGAGCAACGTTTACTCACGAATGCGAGTGTTGCGGTGCAGCTCCACGAAAACTTCTAGAAGCGTTCGACGCCTTAAGCCTTGTAATTGTAAATAATTCTAAAAATTTCGAATTTCGATCCTACGTTTTTCTGTAAATAATAAATAGAATCACAATTTTGGTTGTTCACAAAATGTCACTTTTACAAAAACGATCTTGTCAGGAGTAGTAGAAACATCTCATGCTATACGTTAAATGGCAACAACTGTTGGCATATAACGTATTGCATGGGATGTTGCATTACACGTATTGCACATCTATCTACATCCATCTGTTGCATCCTCCTATCCTCCAATGTTTGATGTTAAGCCCTGACCGTCTTTTGCCCGACCTTGCTCTGCATCCTTAATTCATATATATGTTTATATACCTATAGTCCCAGCATATTCATCTTTGTTTACCTGTACCTCAGGTTTATTATTGTTCTTGAAAGGTAAGAATGCCCTAAAAATGTGCATATATATTATTACGGACTTCAAACATAATCACTAAACGTTATCAACATTTACGAAGAACAAAGTTGGTCGACCAGTGAATTTCCACCATAGAGTTCCCAGACTACAAATTTTAAAATTGCAATATTAATACTGACCGACTTTAAAATTACAATTATTAAACGAGTTTTGATTTAAAAGTTTAGCCGTTATCTTTGCATTCAAATGCTATTTTACAATCAATGCACTATGTTTAATATTGTTTGTGCAACTGCATACATTCCATTTAGGGAAATGAATTTTGCATATAAGCATGTGATCAAAGATTAAAAGAATCGATATTGTACTCCCAAAACATCTAGCCATAACATATGTTTCTCTACCCATATTAGCTGAAACTAAATGACTACCGCTGAGGTACCTCACAAACTATGCTGCAAATCAATTTTAATATATCACAATCCTAACTACCAACGTATAGAATTTTATTCGCAAGCTATGGTGTCCACTGACAATAATAATTCATCATCTTCACGCTAACACCAATAAGCTGTACTAAAAGAGCTGTACTAGAAAATTGTTACCCACAAGTTGAACTGAAAATTTACTACTCACAAGCTGAACAAAAAATGCAAAATGCTAGCTGTCCTGGAAAAATTGCTATACACGAGCTGCGCTAAAAAGTTACTAGCAACAAGCATCTCTAAGAAACTAATACTTATAAGCTAAATTTCCTTAGCAGCTCTAATACCTACAATCTGTCCTATCTCATAACCTGTAATGCACACATTGACTCAAACCCCCAGCCATTCACCCGCTGTACTCCTGCACAAGCCGTACTGCACCCACTACGGCAGTCAGGATGAGTCTGACAGTCAGCTCACAAGGTGGCGCCTTATATACCGTGCTGTGACCTCAGGCCGCCGTGCTGGGGTGCAGGACGGGGGGTGGCGGGATGAAGTAATCGGTGCAGCGCTAACGGACCGGTCTTGATTGGAAAGAAATCTTCCCGTTAACAGCAATGAGCAGTGACGGTGAAACCACCAACAGGAATTAATTTTCATCTGATCAAATGTTCCTGTTCAGACCAGAGTGATTTTTTGTCTCACTGCCCTTTCATTATGTTTATAGAATTATTGCATATTAATGTGTGTTCTTGAGAGATATCGCTCCATCAGTTTAACTGTATAAAGTTCTAATATTCAAGTTCGAAGTTGTTCAAGAAGAACTGGGTTCGTAAATGATGCGATAGGATTTTAGTGCCCAGCAACTGTACGTTGACATGCAGTTTCAGAAGCATCGTATTGCTGCGGTGAATCCTTTAGTGGACTATTGATGATTATACTTTATTGATTATACTTAATACGTCTATATGAACGTCAATAAATGAAGAGGAACATTCATAAGCGGGAGAATGTATTAATATGATAAAAATTTTCTGATTAAGCCAGCAGGAATTCAGCGGATGAACTATGCGCCAGGTGACACAAGTAAATGGTGAATATACAGTATATATATTTCATCATTCATATCAACGAACCGTAATGACTCTGACAGCAGGGTTTGTGTTCAAAGAGTATGACCTATTCAGAACTTTTTGAATAATTTCCTAAATTACTAGTTTGTATTAAATCGCGACAGCTGGAACTGGAATTAAAAAAACGTAATCTCTGATATATGCGACACTATAACGACATAAATTGAAATTGACCACCAGATCATTGTGAACTGTAATCGTTCATTGTAATTAGGTTCAAATGGAAAAATTATAAGAAATAGCTTATACATGCTTGAATTGAACCTCTATTCAGAAATGACGTAAATTTAAAAAACACTTTTATTTATTGCAGTTTTCATTTTTGCCATCGATCATGGAGCTCGATTACTCTATTGAACGTAACTTCTACATTGCCTAATGCACACGTATTAAAATAAATAAGGGAAGTCTGCAGGATTGAAGGAGTAGACTAATGGGCACCATAGTCATTACGTTTCTGTAATGTAATGGAAAACTTTAGAAAAGTAAATAATATTACTTTATTCTGTTGCATTACTGGACTAGTGTTGCGTCTGATGATTCATGTGTTTTGGTTGATTCATGTCTAACGCCTGAAATTTTCCTTAGCCTTACTCTATCAAAGCTCATCAGGATGTAGTCGTAGTGTATTCAATTTGTAATTTTTATGAATATCAAGGGTAGAATATATCGGGGCTATCGTGCACAGATATTCTCATGAATATATCCATCATAACCTTTTCAAATTTCTCTGTTGTTCCTATCAAAAATTAATAATAACAATTATACAAGAATAATTATACATAGTTACTTTGTCTATGGGGAGGCAATGCATTGTAATTCTACATACTAATTTGATCAAATACAATTATTGAATTGAATATTTTTTCAATGAATACATTTGTTACCACTTCTATTCCCTTTACCCTATGACCGTAGCTTCGCTTTCACACGGCAGACGCAGGATTAGGTCTGCAAGAAGTTTCCAGTTCAACAGATAGTCGGTGTTTGGTAGGCAATTAAGGGTATCTTGACTAGGGCAAAAATGGGAGGGTATAATGTCTAGGGCATTGCATGGGTATGATTAGAATATTATTCCAGGGTATAATTAAGAAGGGTATAACAACAGAGAAGAAGGAACCTGAAATGCTGCAATATAAAATGACGGTAAAAATTGGGAATGAAAATCTTCAAGAATTGCAGAAAATGGACGAACGTCAACAAAGTAAACAACAGGGGAAGTGTGTTGAAGAAATGTTCACGTCGCTTTGTTGGCTTTCCTATAAATGATATGGAGGTATATCATCCTCCCCAGCAAGGTCTCGTAATTCCGCATACAAGACCTCCCGAACAATGAGAGGTCAATTTGCTTGTTATTCAGAATTTTTCATCATATTTAAAAGTGTTTTCACATTCATGCTGTATGTCAATTAGCGAAATTGTAAACACAAAATAATTGTGAATAAAAAATAATTTATGGAGAACGAGAGTTGAGAAAATTTCTTGTGTCACTGAATGTTACCTAGAATTGATTTGCCTGTATATATGAATCATTATAACAACTGAGCACAGCAATCACAGCTCAAATCAAACGCGTATCGTGAAGGTTCAAAAATAGCCTTGAGAGGGCCGAGTAGAAGCTTTAATTACAGACCAGAATTTCCAATAATTAGTAATTTCCCAAATAAATTTTCAGTCTAAACTATTTTTCATGCTCCTATAACTTTCGAGCTAGCAGTTGTAAAAACAAACATATTTTTTTTGTACAAGCTATATGGTCAGTCGTTCACAAAGACAATCTAGCTGCATCCTGAAACTTTAATCAAAACACATTCAATCGACATTCATTCAAAACACGACAGCCATTTAAATATTCTTGCGTAATTACGATACTTCCGATAGAATGCATCTCAATATCGACAAATTTGACATTCAAGGACGAAGATTGCGATCCGGCTTGTGTGGCAGCACGGACAACTTCCCGACATAAGTGGTCACACGCATCGGGTGTTGGCAGCGCTCGCAAACTCTAGCCAAAAACATCGCTTTGATCAATTATTGAGGCTTGCAAGCTGATGCGTGTTACTCATGTTAGTTTAGTTGGCGACCCTTATAAATTGCGTGCTTGAACTAAAATAATAGGTGTATTAGATATTACGAATTTAAACTGTCTATTTTCAGGTGACGCAGTGTTACTTTGCAAAATTTGTGATGCGAAGAGAGCATTTCACCAACTATGACACAATGTGCATGCTTTTTGGCTCTATCTTAACAAGGCAGTTAAATGTTCAAACAGATGAAAATGAGTGCGAATAATATGGTTACTGATAGTTCTAAAAGAAGGAGACAAGTTTTATGCGGCTTCATCAATGCATGGTGAGTTCAGTGCCCCAAATAAACTGTACTATTACATGGCCGTTGTCCTTAGCTTTCGTTACCATGTGTCCCTGGGCAGCTGGCCAAGCAGGCGTTACAGTTACGTGGCGATGTGTCTTCCTCACAGCGTATCCTGCTTCCTATTTACACGTGAACCGCATAGCAGTCCACGAGTATGTATCCTATTCTGCTGTGCACGCCGCTACCGAGCTTCAACGAAGATTTTTTTTTGTAGAGTCTTTCTCAAGTCTGCTAGAATATTTAAAATTCTTTCTCATTGCTTGAAAATGTTCATATAAACAAATTGATAATAGAAAGTTTATATAAAAAGTCTGTGAATATGCTATTTATTGGAATAGCGTTGAAATAGCAGGGATGATGCAAAATCATGACGCGCAAAGAGCTGCTAAACGAGGATTGTTCGCTGCAGCCGCATGGAAAACGAAAACCTTTTGATCTAGCATTGGTTCCATGTTTATTTGTTTTATACATTAGTAATGTAGAAAATTATAAATGTTGATAATTGCTTGGCATCCATATCCATCGAGCTGCATAGTCAATTAGTCACCACGTCCATCTCCTCAATGCCATTTGTAGCTATGCAATCTATGCGGGAGTTCTGATACTCTATGCAGTGGTAGCACAGTCCGCTAATCCGCTAACCGCTAATTAGCGAAGCTGACGTTTTCCGTAGCCGGTGTGCCACACTGATGGCTGCCTACGTCAACATATGTACGTCAACCAATCACGTCTTGTGTAACAAAAG